GTATGTATACATAAATAATACACATCGTCTAATGAACGGATCACCTTTTTCCCTTTACACATTTCTAACTACTGGATCGTCTTTTCGTGGAATGTCCTTTGCATTTAGGATGGGGAAAACATCTACAGCTGATATTGTTTCTGAAACCTGTGCAGTGATTTGTCATGTACTTCAACCTCTGTGTATACCAGATCTGGATGAAACAATTTTCAAGCCATCAGCTGACGAATTTGCATCAAAGTGGATCTTTCCCAATTGCTATGGCTCCATTGATGGGAAACATATACTACTCAAGTGTCCTGATGACAGTGGATCGATGTTCTTCGACTACAAGCATTTCTTTTCGATAATCCTACAAGGTGTTGGCGATTCAAACTGCAAATTTTTAACAATAGATGTTGGAGCGAGGGGCAAGCAGAGTGATTGAGGCGTGCTCAGAGAAAGTGATCTTTACCGATGACTTGAAGTGAATGCTTTCAACTGTCCTACTCAAAATAAACTACCAAACTCATCACAGAACTTACCATATATGCTTTTGGGTGATGAAGCTTACCAGCTCCTCCAGTATTTGATGCGACTTTATCCTAGACAAGGTTTGAACCACCAGAAATTAGTTTTAATTATCGTCTATCGAGGACCAGAAGATGTGTGGAGCGCGCTTTTGAAATTATGACTTCAAAATTTTGAATAATGAGCAAAGCAATTGAAACAAATGTTGATAATGCAGTGCTGATCACCAAAGCTGTAAGCATCCTACACAATATGCTTATTAAGGAAGAAGGCATCGGTGCAACAACAAATACTGCAGGTGATATGGAAGAAAATCCTGGCAACTTGAAAGTTCCACATTGAGTTGAAAAATTCTACAAGAATAGCTAGAAATGTGAGAGATGTTTTCACAGAGTACTTCTGTTCTGATGAAGGATCAGTACCTTGGCAAAATCACTTAACATTAGCCTGATCATAAAGATAGTGCTTTACAGTGTAACGTATATAGGTACTATAGGTACTTTGCAACATCTCTCACATTGACTATGTTGTTATAGTGTCATTTGTACTTTAATAGATATTCGTCCATGGATATAACCCATAACTATACAGATACAATTGGTATGTATTCAAATAAACTCTTACTTGAAACTCCAAGTTTATCTCCAATCTTCCTCCACTGCAGTGCAATAAATTCCCTGTCACTGTGCCTTGTGTGGTATGCATCAGAGGGTGTGAGGGAAACTTCAGTGATGAGCTGCTCCACGTGCGGGCTCAAGCGGGAAGTCATCTACCGACGCTTCCCGCCTGGACCTGCGCGGGCACGAGCTGTTGCCAGCTGCCAGCGAGGTCACGTCTATGGGTTACGATGATACAAAGTCTTCCGCGCCTGCCTGCTCTCGGTGTGGCCCCGACCTTAGCTTACATAGCCTCTTTAATCACCACTTTTGTCATATTTGTATGATAATTAATAAACAATTTAGAAGTATTTCCTGAGCCTGGAGGACAAAATGTAATTAATTTGAAATTAGAGTTAATGTGATTTGTGCACCATAGGAGCATCTGTTTAAAGTTTGTCATTAATGAAAATTACCAGTACAGTATACAGTCCTGTATAACCTGCCTGAGATTCTGGAATACTCGGGCTCGAACGATGCAAGGAAAGGAGTGTTTGTTTTGAGAGGTAAATGTGAAAATTGTAGGAAAAGAATATAAAAGAACCATTGTATGCCGAGCTGAGAAGAGTGGGAACGGCCGACAACAGTAGAAGAGGTAGTGTGTTGAGTTGCTTGGCCACTTTTACTTTTATCCTCTTCACCAGTGTTATCTACATCTGACAATGTCTGTGGCTGGGTAATTGCTGTAACCAGGCATGCAGTGGACGCATCGATGCGTCGTTGGCTTCCGATCCATATCTTGACAACATACGTGTCGACGCAATCATTTTTTGCCAATTTCTCCTGCCCTCATGTTAAGTTGGAAAGCTACAGTTGAATCTTGGAATTATTCCTTAGTTATCCCAGAAAATTCACCAACATTGCAAATGGGAAAGTCTTCTCTGGTGGTGGGACGGTTTACCGTATTTTATGCCATATAAGATGCACCCCCATTTTAGCAGGAAGTATTTTGGAAAGCTTTTGTGTCTATTTTCCTCCTGTATCCATAGTTTTCTTAAAATACTATATACGGTACCAGTAAATGCGAGGAATAAATGAAAAATACCTGTAATACCAATAATTAAGTTACAGTACTACAAAAAATACTGTACAGTATTGCCAAACCAGTAAATAAAAGCCAAAAGAAAGTTTAAGACAGTCACCATTTGCATATATGCCCTGGTTCACCTTAGCAACAGAGACGCCTCCTCCGCTGATTCCCTAACAACGCTCCCCCACTGAGCCAGCTATGTTAAAAACATTAACTAATAAATATATGTATGTTTTTCAGTGAAAATTGCACCCCATTTTCAAATACAGTTATCCCTCGAGAGACAAATGGGTTAAGTTGAAAAACAAAATATCATTCATTGGGTGAATTTATGTATCGCAAATAAAAGTAAACGAAGCATTTGAAGATCACAGGGGAATGAGATACTTGGAGACATAAATAGAGGAACGTAAATCTGTGTTTGTTGAGAAGCTGGAGTAGGTTGGGCAAGAGACCCTCATAAGACTGGGGAAGTAGCTGACAGAACAGAGGAAAGAGTTAAGAGGAGCTCTGCTCAGGACGTAGCAGGGTCACAGAAGGTGACGGAGAGTAATACAGGATCTGAATAGGTCCTTCGGTGGCTAGGGACTCTGCAGAAATGTGTTGAAGACTAGTACACCTACTGATATGGAAGAAGAGGAGAAACGGGAACGTTAAGAACGTAGTAACAGCATAATAGTGTTTGGAGTCCCCGAGAGCCAGTCGGAGGAAGCTAAAACTGAGAAAATGCACGACAAGTTGAAATTTCTGAATATTTGTGATGCTCTGAAATTATCAGGTCCCACTCAGGATATAAGGAGGCGAGGACAAAGGCAGAAGGGGCAACCCCTGCCCCCTCATGATCACACTAGTGAGTGAGGTTATTCAGCATGCAAAAAACTTAGCAAGGAGCGATACATTTTTGGGTATCTTCATAAACCCAGATCACACGGTAATGCAGAGGGAGCAGCACAAAAACTCCTGGAGTCCTTGAAGCAGAGGAGGGAGAAGTCGATGAGGAACGGGGATGGACGTACAGGGGATAGGTAGTGGAGGCAAGTGTACCAGTTCAAAGCCAGGGGACAGTGGGACCCTCATCCACTCTACCTCCCACACAGGAGGAGGTGAGCGCCATTGTCAGGTAGTAGGCAGCTACCACACAGGGGGGTACTACCACCTGGGAAGATATTGGAAGTATAATGTATTGAATAATGGTAGACCCTGCTGCCATATGGCATCACAAATATTGTGACCAAGTCCCAGGTTGCTGATCTGTCTTTCTGCCTCATTTACACACAATTGCAGGGTCTCAATTCTCTCTTTTAGTATTGACAACACAACATATATCACTTTTCTCACTCTTGATCTGTTCTATTCCTTTATTCTCCCATGTTATCAGTTGACAATAATATTAAAGTAGGGCCTTCTCGGATGGGTCCCACTAGTCGGGAAGGTTGTGGACCCCAGGGCTGACCTGATCATTATCAAACTACTGGGGCCTCAACTGACATCACCGCAGTTGCTGGAGGATCGGCTTTTTTCACACTTCATTTTCCAACATTTGCGGCCCGAGATCCAATTTTTCTTCTGTGTAGTACCATCTATTAACCTCTTACTACTATCTGAACTTCAAATTGTCCAAAACAGCTTCACCCAAACCTTTTCAAGTCCTCAAATACAACCTTTATACCTCTTTCCGTTCTAAGGGAGGTGTATGCGCCTACTGCAACACACGTACACCTATAGCTCAACTCACGGATCTTGAATCTTCTCTTTATGATGTCATCTGGCTCAAAATATCTCTACCAACTATGACTATTTTTCTTTTTTCTCACAACTCTACCAACTATTTGGAACCCTTTGATTATCTCACTTCTTGTCACGAGTCGTTGCTATCCACACACTCCAACACCGAGGGGATTTTAATGTACAGTCAGCAAAAAAAAGTTCTGCACCCCTTGGTCTGATGGCCTTTGCAACAATCACTGACTGAGGCCATGTTAATTTGGTAAGGTTAGTATTTCTGGTTGTGTGATGCATTGTATAACCAGTATGATGTATTTTTTATATAACAGATACTTAATACAGAGAAATTAACAGGAATCACCGTCATAAATGAGTGCAGTTCAGAATTCTTGATCTGGTGTGCATATTGTACATCACAGAGAGTGGCTTGGCTCTGTAAGGGAAGACCCAGGTGGAGCTGAGGCACTCTCTTTTTCCATGCTTAATGATTTGGAACAAATAATTAAACACCATACACACGTTCCAGATCGATACAATCAACTTGCTAACATTCTTGATCTTTGTTTTACCTCTAACCCCTCTCACTATTCATACTCATTTTCTGCCCCCTTAGGGTCTTCTGATCACTATCTTATTTCTATTAAATCAAACTGGGCATGACCACCTCCCCCACCCTCGTCTAAATGCCAACTATGGCACTATCGGAGGGCAATCTAGCAATCCTTGCGAGAATTCTTCTACGACTTTCCTTGGGATGAATGTTGCCTTTCCACTCGGGATGCCTCGGTATGTGCTGACAGCATTGCTGGGGTTATATAGGGTGGTATGAGTGCATTTATCCCATCTTCTACCAAAACTTTCACTTTACATCATGGTTTGATCGCTCCTGCTCTCTTGCATGCAGGGAGAGAGATAAGGCATATCAAGCTATGAAACTATCTCCTCCTATTACCCACTCCTCTTTCATTACTTTCAGGAATCGTTGTAAGGCTATTCATCTTAGGGCCAAGCGGAATTTCATAAAAAGAAAGACCACTGACCTGACTAACTCTTCTTCTAGTAAATCCTTCTGGTCCTTAATCAAAAACATCTGTAATAACTTCTGCACTCCCTCTTTTCCTCCTCTCTTCTGACCTGATAACTCTAGAGCCAACTCTCCCCCTGATAAAGCCAATCTCTTTGGCACCTTATTCTCTTCTAACTCCACTTTAGACAATTCCAACTCTTACCTCCCCCGACTCCTGCCCCTCCTACTGAACCTACTGAGGGAGTGTGTTGAAATTCTGGCCTGTGCTTGCTCGCCACTTTTGCCTTTGCCTCAAAACCCAAACTTTTCCTTCTTTCTGGAAGCATGCCTTGGTTCAGCCCATCCCGAAGAAGGGTGACCATTATAATCCCTCTATAAGATTATCGAAGCAAGTTACTCATTTTCTCCGTCACCTTGAAAGCCTTTCTCTTTTGTCGGATCACCAGTATGGCTTTTGGCAGGCAAGATCTACTGGTGATCTGCTCTCCTACTGCACCCATCTTTGGTCATCCTCTCTTAGGGATTATGGGGAAACTTTCGTCATGGCCCTACACATCTCCAAACAAAGTATGGCATAAGTCTTTCCTTTCTAAACTTCCCTCTTATAGTTTCTCTACCCCACTTAGTTTTCTAATTTCTAGTTTCCTTGAGAACCGATCCATGGCAGTTGTTGTCGAGGGATCGATCTCTCGCTCTTATCACAGGGGATACCTGTATACATAAAACTTTGATGGGCTTCTCGTCCGTTTAGCGAAGTGTTAACTGGAGAGAGATATAAAAGAAAATTGTACAGGGCCTTTTATGGAATGTAGTGTTAAGGAAGCTTACCTGGAGGCCAAGAGGTGTGAGCAGGATGCACTTAAGATAAGATGAATAGTGTAGAAGCTAGAGGAGATGTATACAGAATAGAGGGCAGATAATGGGTAAATACAAGGATGTACTTATGTGAAATGACTATGGAAATGTTGTTCTTGATAATGAAGAAATCAAGGAGACTTAAAAGAAAATACTGTACTGGTGAATGAGATGTTTGATTGGGACAAGGGCAATGTAGAAGCAGCAGATCCAGTACAGGGACCATGCCCAAGGATTGAAAGAGAATTGGTGAAGAAAGTGATTGACAAAATGAAGATTAGAAAGACTTCATCATTGTTGAACGTATCAGATAATGCAAGTACTGTATGGTGGTGACTAAATCGACTAATGCAATTAAGATGGAATGTATTGTTCTAATTGATTGGCTAAATAGCTTACTGTGGGTACTTACAAGGGTAAAGGTGGTGCACTTAACAAGAATGGAGGAAACTGCAGTGGGACTTTTGACTCATACTTGGCAGCATCTACATTTGGGACTTCCCAGTGAATTTGAGTTAACCCTTTTGCTGGTCGATGATATGCTACCTGTGCTATTAAGAGGGGAGTGAGACATCTCCCGTGATCCTGAGCACTCACACTGGCCAGACCGCTTGTGCTGGAAATCAACACACATAAGGTATTATCTTTCCACACTAATTTTCAACCATACCATTTGACTGACAAGAGATAACTGATCTCATAATAATAATAATAATAATAATAATAATAATAATAATAATAATAATAATAATAATAATAATAATAATAAAATAACTTTCAAAGAAATTCCTTAGAATGCAAATAGAGTACATTAAATTGTGTATCTGTGACCATTGCTAAAATTCAGTGAGAAGGTTGTTCCTGACCAAAATTGGCAGAGGAAGTTGAGGAGTAGAACCAATTGAAACTTAAGACATATTAGACAGGTGTGCCATCAATATAACAAATTGTATAAAAATCCATGTTATCTTGTCTATTGGTTAATAAGGCCAGGAACAACAGGAACCCATCTTGACGCAGACGGAAGATGCTGGTCGTGCTCTCAGGGACAGCCACAGCTGTTGGTTTGGAACATACATTTCTGCTGGGATGTCGTCATTGTCTGGACTTAACTTTACTTCTTTGTCATGTTTGCGACCTGAAATGAAAGTAAGTAGTGTAGTATGAGGCTTTTATCTTATCACTCCAAAATTATTATTAAAACTTTGTGAGTTTTTCCAAACAGTCTTGTTAGCCCCTCCCTCCATTTTCAGCAGAATTCACAAAATTTGTGCATACAGTATTGTAATTATTTTGATTTGTCTTCCACCAGAGTCCAATACACAAGAGACTAACCAAAGGCCTACACCCAGCCAGGCGGAGGACAACAAGAGAATAGAAGAATGGTATAATAGCCTATCTATCTTGGTTTGAATTATGGTAAGAAAAGAAGGAGGGTTAATAGAAGACCTATGACTTGTTGACTCACCAGAACAAATGTAAGTTCAGTACAATAGACTTCGGAGCAACATCACCATAAGATAATGTGGCCAATAGGATCGTTGGGACCAGTGATTTTGTTGAAACATTGATGAGTTTCCGTGGTACGCTCTAAACACTTCTGACCCATTAGCTAAATGCCTAATGCTAACTGTACTGCATGTAAAAATTAATCTCATGAGAAATAGAAGGTTGCAGACACATGAATATTCTCAAGCAACATCACCATCCAGTGTCCCTTAATCCTATAATGAACACTTAAGCTGCAACATTAAGTCCATTTAGAATAGTGTCTAATTATTTTACTAGTAACTGTATTGTTGCAGCTTTTTATTCATGGTCACTCTGGTGTGAACTGCTGCACTCCTGGCCTTGTATGCCAGTCCGCCAGCTAGGACACTGTCAGCCCTAGCCTCTGTTCTGTTTCTCCGGGGTCCATTACTAAGTACAGTTGCGGACTCTTCCACGTTGAACACCCAGCTAAACGACCAGAGAGGTAGAATCAGCTGATGATCTGGTAACAGTGTGCGTGCGTGTGTGTGTGTGTGTGGTGGGAGGGGGAAAGATGGGGGGAGTTCTTGAGTTAAGTGTTGCATAATATAATCATATTTTATTTTAAACATTATAAAGTAATGGAAGTAGAAGGAATTATTTAATTTACGAATATGTTTTGTCCAGTAGTATTACAGTGTTTGACTTTTTGCGCTGTAAATGGTTATTTTTAATCTAAAGTTTGAGGCCAGAGGTTCGAGGCTGAGGTGCGTCTGGGTAGACTCTTAGTCTTTTTAGTATTTTGTGTTTCTCTCAAGTACCAAACTAAATTATTCCATTGAAACAACACTTAGATTTAGTGCGAATTCGGTTTAAAGCGACCTATCTCGGAACCTATCTCGTGTTATATCGACGTTCTACTGTACAAGGAACTTCGACATGTGGCAAGATTTTATGGAACCTAATCCTTCTGAATATCGAGGAATGACTGCATTTTATTTTGACACAATATACATTACTGTTAGGTATTCCTTTTTTTTTTAAAGAAATATTTATGTTGGAATCTACAAAATCAGTTCTAACTTAGTTAGAAAGTACAACATTTTCACCAAACTGATCTCAAATAGTTTATCTAAAAGTTTCTCAAAATAAATATACAGGTATCCGTTGTTTGGCGATCGGAATGTGTTCCTGAGAAATGGATCACTAAGCAAACAGAAAAAGAAATAATATCCAAAATAAGGGATAAAAAAAATAATATCCGTGGTGATGACACGTAATTATGTAGCCGAGTCGCCACTCAGTAGCACTCAAGAGCGGGTGAGGCCGAGCTATGAGCTATGTTACTGTTCAATTCTTAATTTTGGATAGATACTCTGTACCCTGTACCTGTATACATAATTTTCTTCATTTTCTTGTACAGGTAGTTCTGCTATAACGCGATAGTTGTGTTCTTGTAAAACATCGTGTTATAGAAATTCGTGTAATAGAAATAACAGGGCTTATGGAGAAAATAGGGTTAGGTGCAGATTACTCCAAATCGAAAAAAAAAATCGTAGTTAGCCTAACACAAAGGATAGCACAGTCTAAATAAATGTTACATTCATATCTAATAATGAAATCATATAGTAAATGTTACACTTTACCTTGAAAAAATATGAATATAACTTGATGGGGGAGAAGGGTGATGTTGAGGCTGAGGAGTCATGAAACATCAAGCTTTTCTTCAAGTGTTATAGCCTTTCTTTTACGATCACCAGAGTGCTTCCCAGAGATATTCTTCCTTTCCATAGTCACAAAATTGGAGAAACAGTAATCAGAATTCACTGAGGACACTTAAAAACTTCACATGTGCTTCAAACAAAGTGTGGAGTAAACAGAGCGCGCAGGTCTAAAACGCTATGTATTTTGTTTTTCTCTTATTTAAAATTTTACATTTTACATATACTGTACAGGTATACTGTATACATAAATATTACATAAATTATTTCTGCAATTCTTCACAAACAAAACACAAATCAATTGAATATGTGATGTCAAACGTGAACTGTTAAACACTGCATAACCCCGCGCCAAGCCACAGGACTGTACTGTACAGTACACTTTAAGCGCTACGTATTTAGTTTTTCTTTTATTTAAAATTTTACAATTTACATATATATACCTGTATAAGTAAATTGTAATTTACATATTATTCATATTATGCTAGAGCGCCCACAAAACATAAGAAACGTTTGAGTCCCCCAGTAGAGATGTCCGTTCTCTATCCACTTCAGGATGTCTTAGTCCTCCGTTTTCTTTTTGTGTACTCGCTCAGGGACTCAAGTATTTCTGTATATGACACAGGATGATAAGGGAATTTGAATTTATTTGTTTATTTATTTATATATAATATACTGTAATATATTAAATATACTGCAAGTATTTTCTTTAATTTATATACGTGTTTCGCGAAAAAGGGAGGCTACATTTATGGTGATCGTTAAGGACCAAACTCCGAATCCATGACGTGACTTCTGTTCATTATTTATATCCTAAATTTACCACTGTAGGTAGTTTCAAGAATTAATGCAGTCATTTACTGAATATTCTTTGCAAAAAAATAAATTTTAAATGAATTATTTATAAGAGATAGGTATTATGATCAGTAAATATACAGATATGCATTACTGACCACCTCCGAACACAAGGACGGCTAAAAATAGCCACAGGCGGTCACAGTCAAGGTCACTTTCCCTTTCTTGTCACTGGCAAATAGGGGTGGGGGGGTGATAATAGCAGCTGTGTTTATTACAGTATGTTAGACTGGTTTATAATACATTTTTATTATTTTAATATACCGGTAATCTTCATTTTAATCCAGCTTCCCAAACGTAAGTTTCAGTATAAAATAATTAGTGGTACTGTAGGACCTTGTGAGTGGTTTACTGTATACATAAATATTACATAAATTATTTCTGCAATTCTTCACAAACAAAACACATAAATCAATTGAATATGTGATGTCGAACGTGAACTGAAGCCACAACAACCGTTCGAGTGGAATCGGAATCGCGTTAGAGCAAACGAGTTCGCGTTTTACAAATATCGTTCCTCAATTCATAAATCGCGTTCGAGCAAATTCGCGTTGTCAAAACATGCGTTATAGCAGAACTCACTGTACTGTATGTACAGCATAGCCCATCATCTACACAACACGCGTTATAGCAGAACTCACTGTACTGTATGTACAGCATAGCCCATCATCTACACAACACGCGTTATAGCAGAACTCACTGTACTGTATGTACAGCATAGCCCATCATCTACACAACACGCGTTATAGCAGCACTCACTGTACTGTATGTACAGCATAGCCCATCATCTACACAACACGCGTGATCTTCATTTTGTCTTATTTTATTGTTTTATATTGAGTTTTATTCATTACCAAGTCACATTGTTTATATATAGTGGAATAAGTGGAATTTTTTGGGGGGTCAAAATAATGTATGCCTGTGTGGGGGGTCCGGTGGGTCTTCCGTCGGCCGAGCTCTAACAGTTAAGTGAGTCACACTCCATTATGTATTATTTCACCAGTTTTGTTCAGCACTCTCCTTCATGGCTTCATTTTTTTAACGTGTAGTAATGTTCACTAATACACTGTAACAAAAAATTGTCCCCCTTTTCATGTTTTTATTTTATTAATGAATGATATTATTAAACTAAAACACAATTATTAAAAAAAAATACATAAAAACTAACAATAATATAAGTAAAAGTGGTCCCATATTGGTCCCATGTCAATCATGTTTGTGTTCTCAAGCCTACTGCCCAGTAACCCATGGGTGGGCAACATATGCCCTGCCACTGCATTAGGATTATCTTTTTTTTTAAATGATTATCATCATGAGTGAGTTTGGCACCCATAGCAGCAAGACTTGTTGACCTGACCTTGGGAATACCCCAAGTCTGGTTAACCATAGGGATTAGGCAGAGAAGAGGTCAATAAACCCTTACCTAAGAATCCCATTCTCGACATATGATGGATGGCCACACCCGCACCTGACTGACCTGGGCGCCCAGCACCAACACGAAGAGAAGCTCAGTTCAGTCTTCTCTTTGCTTCTCAATGAGGAGCACGTTACTGCTGTTTGTTAGAATTTGTATTTGTAAGTGAACATGAGTGCATCTAAAAAGAAGAAATCTGAAGCAGAATATCAAACATTCAACAAGGAATGGACTTCTATTTTTCTTTTTCAACAACGTGGATGGAAAAGCAGTGTACCTAATTTGCAAAGAAAGTGCGGCAGTGCTTAAGAATTACAACTTTCATCACCATTTTGAGACCAAGCATGCCAGTAAATATAAAACATTTTCAGATGAAGAAAAGAAGAAAGCGAACTAAATGGTCACTCAATTACAACAACAGCAAAGTATTTTCAATAAACAATTTGCATCCAAAGAGGGCAAACCTGTACTCAAATGTACTAAGTTAATGACAAATTTTTTTATGTCTAGTGCAAACTATGGGATATTTGTACTCAAATTTATCACTCTCTTACAAGAATTCCAGCAATGCAAGTTATGTTCTGCCAAGTCAATTCAGTGACATTATATAAGCGAAACACTTAAGCTCCCTCTATATGACAGATAACTACACACTTGGTAATCTTCGCTGCCCGGCTGTGTCAACACCTCACCTGCCTCCCTTCTCTCAGCCAGGGTGAAGGTAGTTTTGGGCTTATAGTATTTATCGTATAAAATATCACTGACTAGCCTTAGCAGAATATAATTTACATTGCTGGAATCCTCACAAGATAGCAAATAATTTGAATATAAACATCACATAGTTTGCACAAGAGATAGTACATTTGAGTACAGTAATATGTTGCTCAGAATTATGGCTTTTTCACAGGAAAGAGTCTGTAGTATAACTAACCCAAGTGGTCACTGTACTCGCTTTTCGTATCATCGAACAACATCGCTCGTATAGTTAATATAAGGTGCAAATTCCTTAACCTCGTATCATGGAATTCTCTTATAAAGAATGCTCGCATAATGAGATTCCCTGCAGTAACTTTTGCTAATGAAGAAATGAAACATCTATAATGAGAATAAATTTTTGTTAGTTTATCATGAGCGTGGGATTACCTGAAACTTTTATGACATATAACTGGAAAGGAATTGTAAATATTATTGTACCTGATCCTGGCAAAAGAACTACCAGCTACTGATTACTTGTACAGTTTCTGAACAATTAAAGAAAATATTCCTTCTTAAGTGATGATTTTATGGTGCAACAGTAGACCAAAAGTCTGAGAGGGGATTGAATATGAAGTGCCGTTGAAAAGACAATTACAGGGGGGCGCCCCAAATTAGCGGAGGTTAGGTTCTCAAAATGGCCGCGAATAACATTTGAGGTCAGGGGGGCACATTTTTACTTGTGTACAAAGAAATCTATATTCCCTTTATGTGTTTGTCCTTAAGACAATTATTTTTTTTGCCTGTAGTATTGTATATATATGTGTGTGTGTGTGTGTGTGTGTGTGTGTGTGTGTGTGTAGATGCACACACAAAACTCCTACAAATAAATAATAATTGGAAAATCCTCTCACAAATAATCAGAAACAAATTTATCAAAAATGTGACAGTCTTCCCGCAAGTCCGTGCTTTATTAATAAAATACTGTAAGAAAGCACGGACTTGAGGGTAGACTCACAATTTTGATAAATTTGTTTCTGATTATTTGTGAGAGGATTTTCCAATTATTATTTATTTGTAGGAGTTTTGTATGTGTGTGTGTCTACACACACACACACATATATTTACAATACAGGTAAAGGAAATTACTGTCTCTAGAACAAATGGTTCCCTGTCCAAGCCTTGAAAATGCCAGCAACTTTTAAACTACCCACAGACATTCTTGGGTACATCTAGGGTGTCATCCGCGAATAATAGAGGACCGCGAAATAAAAATCAGCGAATTTGAGGGCCCCTTGTATTTATTTATTTTATTTTTTTACAGGGATTAGCCCACCCGGGCACAGATCACTGAGCCACATTGGGGCCTGGGGGGCGAAAATGTAATAATAATAATAATAATAATAATAATAATAATAATAATAATAATAATAATAATAATAATAATAATAATAATAATAATAATAATAATAATAAATAAAATTTATAATAAAAAAGTAAAAATAATAAAATAACAGTGTGAATAATAACATTGTTTTAATAATAATAATAATAATAATAACTATAATAAAGAACCATAAAAAAAGATACTCAGAAAAAAAAAGATCAAAGTGAGAAACAATATACTGTATGTATGTTGTGTTGTGTTGTCAAGTGTAAGAGAAATAATTGAGACCCAACAATTGTGTGTAAATGAGGCAGAAAGTCAGATAAGCAACCTGGGACTTGGTCACATATGGCAGCAGGGTCTACCATTAGATAATACAATATGCTTCCAATATCTTTCCAGGCAGTAGTACCTCCTGTTTGGAACCATCAAATATCTTTGTGAGAGGAACAGGTCCAGTGCTTTCTACTGAAACAGGAAATTGGAATCTGTTCATGATCAGGAGAGAGCATTCCCACAAGTTACAAAAACATTAAGGACATTTAAAACACGGCAAATCTTGTACCATGACCTTTAAGGGAGATAAGATTTTACTGGAGTTATAGGAATGACTTTATGCAGGAGGTTTTTATGTCAATGTGAAACTGATATATTTTTCTCACCTGCACTGATAGGGCCCATGGGTGCCACCTGGTTTTGTGAAGTATATCCTACAACCAATGGTGGCTGTCTCATGAGTAACCTTGCCACACCCTCACACTCTCTCAGCACATCCACTGCCAGAACCTGAGTTCGAGCTTCTGGTGCAAGACCTGGATACTTCTGTAGCCATTCTGCTAGTGCATGAAAATCTGTAAAATATAAATGTAATTAGTATCTACCTGCCTTTTTATATGCAGTCCTTTCCACATTTCAAGTTGAGGGGAATATGTAGATGCAGGTACTGTATGGGACCGCTTATCTGGTGTCCCAGTATCCAGAACACTTAAAAGACTGGCCATGGTCTTCAACATATTACAGTATTTAAAATGAGCTACAAGTAATTTCTGGGCCGAGGAGATATTTTCAACTGCCATCACAACACAAAAAGTATGTACAGCAGTAAACCACTAAAAGTTCACATAAATAAGAGTAGGTATCGAGGTGCAGTGCACTGGTGGTACTTATGAATGTGGGACACAGACTGAGGCACATACAGTGTTACCCATGCACATATAAAATCAAACTGTCTGGACTGATGCACAATTTTTTGGACCTTTTAAAAACTATTTCCAATAAATAGAGGGGCAATCTGGAGCACCTTGGAGAGTCAGAAAAAAGTGAATTCCAATATATTTAAGTACAATTTATCGAGGGTTTATTGTATATATGCAGTACTGTTTATATATATATATATATCTTTTAACAATAACAAATGTTATTCACAAACCTTTGAGTAACTGTTGTGCTCCCCAGAGTGAAAACTTGATCTTCTGAACGCGTATGTGTTCCAACCATGCATAACAAACAACTTTCAATATGGTCGCTCCTGCACGTCGCTGCAATATCACACCAAGCTTGGTTACAGCATCTAGCACAGGTTCTAAGACTGCAGCTGTGAAAGATGTTTATAATTAGAAATTAGGTGGATACATCAATGTAATTTTTAGGAATGATGGTACAGGTTAGCTTTTTCCCATTAAAAAATATCGATTGAAGAAAACTTATTTTTAACCTCAAGAACAAGGCAAATCAGGTGGAGGAATATCACTTTTCCGTATCAAGTTTTGTCCCTAGATTTTCTCAAAAACAGACACTGCTGCCACCTGCCTGCACAAGGTCACTATGTAAGTAAAAGAATGTGTCATCCGAACCTTCAGACACATTACTAATAATCTTAGTCCGTTCATACAGTAGGCCCTCGCTAACTGCAGATTTCCCATTTGTGGATTACGGGTATCCACGGTTTTTACTCAGTACTTGTACTATTTCACCAACCATGGCATTGAATTTCAAGTACAGTATCTGCAGATTTTTCATAATGGGCATTAGCCCACCCAGGCACAGGTCACTGACCCACATCGAGGCCTGGGGCAAAAATATAAAAATGAAAATAATAATAATAATAATAATAATAAAAATAATAATAATAATAATAATAATAATAATAATAATATAGCATGCCTGGATAATTTGCGGATTTTTATTTCGCGATCCTCTATTATTCGCGGATGACACTCTGGATGTACCCAAGAATGTCTGTGGGTTGCCGGCATTTTTGCATTTTTGCATCTGGGACAGGGAGCCATTCATTCTAGAGACAGTAATTTCCTTTACCTATAATAATAATTAACGGTTTATTGAAAGAGCTTGGCAGCCAGAAGGCTGAAAATATACAGTTACATATTTGGGGAATGGGTTACGAATTACAAATAATATACAAGTAAATATGTGTGTGTGTGTGTGTAGAGAGACACATACAAATAAATAATATTTGGGAAAATTCTCTCATAAATAATCAGAAACAAATTTATTAAAAATGTGAGTCTACCCTCAAGTCCGTGCTTTATTAATAACATTTCCACCAAAAAACTTCTTTGCCACTGCTAAAGACTTCTTTATCTCACTTTTCTTTGTCTTTATTGACTTGATTGCGCTTTCCGGAAACTAGTTTTTAGGCCTTCCTCAAGTAACTTAATCACACGCTGCTTATCCTGCATCAAGTACTTGGCAAACTTAACTCCCTTACGATAGTCCCGGTTCTCGTTTTCCTTATTTGGCCGCTTAGGTGAGTCTGTCCCACCCCCACCAGCACCAGTAGGACCCCCAGTAGAGGTAGAGGCCTTTATCTTGACTTGACAGGTGGTAGCACCACCAAGAAAAGCACACAATAGCAGCCCGGGCGGTCAGTAGGATGGTGCGGGAATAACTGGTATGACGGTTGTGACATCATTCAAGATGGTGGCCAACTCGTGATATTTTACGTCAAATATAAGACATGGTTACATTAGGTAGTGCTCACGAAATTAAAAAATGCAAAATATGAGATCTTCTGTACTGTATGTATATTGTGTTGTGTTGTGTGGTGTTTGTGATCTAATGTATTCCTCCACAAAAATGAGTTAATAAAAATAATACAGTACTTACTAATATATAAAAGAAAAAATACTGCATTGCCATTTGGAAATCATTTCATTTATACAGTTGATGGAGCATTTTCCTATCTTAGTATCTCAATATGCTTTCCTCCCTGCTGCCCCCACTTGTGCCACCTTCAGTGAATCATCTATCACAATGCCAAGATTTTTCTCCTCAACAGTATCCAGGAAAATATTATTAACAGAATAGTTGTATCCTATGTGTAGGGTAGCATCAAGCAGTGTTAAAGACCATTTGCCCATCTGGAGGCCTTGCAAAGGTCTTTCTGCTTTGTTGCCACATTGTATTGACTTGCTAACTTACCAAATACATTTGTGTTTTCAGCAAACTTGACAATGTGGCTCAATACATTTTCATTTATGTCATGCATGTAGATCACAAACAGGGTGAGTCCAAGGATAGAGCCTTGTGGTACTCCATTGAGAACTTTTATCCATGTAGAATGAACTCCACTTATTACCACTCTTTGTTGCCTGTCTTCAAGCCAGTTGTTAATCCACATCAAAATCTTGCCTGAGAAGCCATGTGTCTGGATCTTAGAGGCTAGTCGTGCGTGAGGGACTTTGTCAAATGCCTTAGAGAAAACCATGTGCAACACATCCACTATTGGTCCACGTAATCTGTTCCCATTTCAAGGAACTTGAGAATGTTTGTCAGACAGGATTTTCTTTCCATGAAACCATTTTATGATGCGGTGATAAGACTGTGTTCAGTCAGGTGTTTGATGATGGCATCTGTCAGAATTTTCTCAAGGAATTTACATATGAGGGTCATTCAATAAGTAACAAGACAAATAAGTGCAGAAGTAATGATTTTATTTATGATTACATAGTCTCCCACTACATGTCTGCACCTTTCTATGAGTTTTCTTATTCCTGAAGTGAAAATTCTTTCAGTTAACTCCGTAACAAATTTCGGATTTCTTTCTTCACCTTTTCATTATTCAAAAAATGCTTTCACGTAAAGCTGTTTTAAGCAGACCAAACATGTGGTAGTTTGATGGTGCGAGATCTGGACTATATGTGGGGTGAAGCAAAATCTCCAGCCCAGTTCTCTAATCATTTCCTGCATATGCTATGCACTGTGGGCTTGTGCATTGTCTTGCAGAGGAGCCTTGCATTTTCTTTGAAAGCCGGGACGCTTCTGAATTATGGCTGGCTTGATCGCGTTTTCTAGCATTTCTGAATACTGTATGATGCACTGGTGATGGTAAACTGCTCTTGAAGATAGTGGCAGTATATTGGTCCATTCACATCCTTGAAAAGATTAAGCCGAGGAGATGAAAAATGTTTCCACACCATGCTTAACGTTTTGACTCTGGTTCAAAATGGTGCACCCAGGTTTCATCACAAGTCATGATCTGCTGTAGAAATGCCTCACCTTTGCAAAGAAATCGTTCTTTTAGTTCAATTTAAATTCACAGTCTAGCGGCTTTGTGTTCCTCATTCAACATTTTGGCGACCCAACGTACACACGTTTTCTTAAACTTCAGAACATCAAGAACGACACTGCCTACTGTACCAACACCAACATTCAAATCTGGCACAATTTATTCATTGTAATGTGTTGGTTTCCCCAAACTTTTCTCTCACTGTTCTGGTTGAGAATGCAGGTGTTAAAACTTAAACAGGTCGTCCGGCATGATCTTTGTCCACAATGCTTGTTCTACCATTCTTGAATTGTTCAACCCACTTGTAAATGTTTGCTCGACTGATGCAATTTCTTCCGCATTGAAGTGATATTCTGCGATGAATTTTGCTTGGTTAAAAAAACAAATAACAAGTCGTCGTTCTTCCAAAGTACAAAATTCAAGTGGAGTGCTTATTGTTAAAGCAACACTTACTTGAGACTAATAGAATGAACTGACTAAACAAACAGATGAAGATGTAGCTTATGCATGTCTAAACATGTTATAACATGATCGCTGTGCTTGCCCTACCCCTTTGCAGTCTACATCAAAAAGTCTCGTTACTTATTGAATGACCCTCGTATTTGTGACGTTAGGCTGATCAGCTTTTAGTTTTCCGCTGCACTTTTTCTACCCTTCTTGCATAGTGGGGTGACATTGGCTGATTTCCAGTCCCTAAATGTGCCTGAATAAGAGTCTTAGCGGCATTAGTCATAAAGTTGGTGGCTGGTAGCAGCAACTTTATTTACAGGGAAATTACGGACAAAATCTGAATACAAAAAGTGCTATTAGTCTACCAGATTTACTTCGGTCTCAAGGTAAGAAATGACCTGTACATATTGGCATATTTTCTTCTACAGTGATTTTCCATTAGGTGGCTGGATAACCTAGACCACTGTTCTTAAACAGTACTCATACAGTCAGTTCTGTTATAACGCGATAGTTGTGTTCTTGTAAAACATCGTGTTATAGAAATTCGCGTAATAGAAATAACCGGGCTTATGGAGAAAATAGGGTTAGGTGCAGATTACTACTCAAAATCGAAAAAAATTTAGTAGTTAGCCTAACACAAAGGATAGCACAGTCTAAATAAATGTAACATTCGTATCTAATAATGAAATCATACAGTAAATGTAACACTTTACCTTGAAAAAATATGAATATAACTTGCTAGGGGAGAAGGGTGATTTTGAGGTTGATAACATCGAGCTTCTCTTCAAGGGTTATCGCCTTTCTTTTACGATCATCACCGGGAATGCGATCACCAGAATGCTTCTTGGAGATATTCTTCTTTACCATATTCACAGTTAATACCACAAAATTGGAAAAATAGTAAGCAAAAATCGCGTTATAGCAAACAAGCGTTCGCATTATACAATATCGTTCCTCTATTCATAAATCGCGTTAGAGCCAATTCGCGTTGTCAAAACACGCGTTATAGCAGAACTCACTGTATTACTACTGTATTTATCAAATGGTGACAGATGTTTACAAATTAAACTTAGCTGGTGTACACATTATTGTTTATCAAAGTGTAAATGGAAATATGCTGAATTGTTCAATTTGGAGCGTAAAAATGACATGGTACAATACAGTACAGTACAGTAAGTACTGTAGTATATTCTGAGGAGACTGCTGGAGCAAATTATGTTTCTGGGCAGGAAATTATATCATAAAATTCTAGGCAGGTGCTTTGTGGTAACAGACAGGGAAGCTAAGACCACATTACTTTACTATGTACTGTACGAGTATGTTAGATAATGACATCCATTGGTCGGAAAACAAAGAAACATTGGTCACCAGGGGATGATTGATTCCAAGATGGCTAAAGGGAAGTGTTGTAAATACTTACTATCAGAGTTCCTTCCCACATGCTCCCCTGGCATTAGTTGCAAATGTGAGGTAGTGCAATAGGTAATAAGAAAGCTTGGGGGAAAGTCTGGTGAAAATTGTGACCTAACTTGATGTCTTGGGATAGTTCAGCTCGCCAGCATAAAAACTATGATCTTTAAAGGGAAAACTTCAGAAGCTTTTACACTGATATTACATACTTAGCATGTTTCTATTAATACTTACTCAAGGTGGTATTATGTGGTGGGTTTGGTTCAGAGCACAGGGTGAGATGGCAAGTTCCCACAAAGGGGTCCTCATCAAAGAAGGGAAAACATATCTTTAATACCAGCACAATTTTGCTAACAACCCAAGACAAAAATAGTTTAGAATGATATGCAGTTTTAGATTTTTTATGATACACAATGGTAACAACCCCTTTGACCAACCAACCCCCAAACACTATTCCTTAATCTGCATATGTTATGTATTTGTAGGTTCCTGTTCCCCACAAAATGTGAGTTTTAAATTTTGATTCCAATATTGAAGAAAATATTTCTGTTATACAAGAGTCGAAGGTCATACCAATATAATCGTAGACATAACAATGTGGTTCATGTGGTATACGACCAATCCCCCGCCAGATCCTTGGTTTGGGCATGGAGTTCTGCAACTGGGCTAGACTCACAGTTCGACAAACTGCACTAACTGCTTCCACTGTCTCTTCTTCATAGTCCTGAGAACACAACAAATGATGAGTTCATGTAGCATTATAGGGTAAGTTTTTATCCCATTATATACTTTTGAAATACTTTTGAGTATTACTGTATCTTAATAATTTTTTATAATTTTTATTACAATTAATTTGAATTAAGATTCCTGTCCCAATCAAGGATGCTTTGTGTATATGAACAGCAATACTGTAGTATATTAATCATTGTGACTAACTGATTAAATAGTACATAGTGATGACATGAGAGGAAGATATCATAACTAGTTCAATATGATATAGTATTAGAATAAACACACCATGATCATTTTCTATACTCATGAGGGTTGGCCATGACTATCTGATGGCAGTTGTCCATGACACATGGCCTCTTGAAGCCTCTCTCATCCAGTTCCTATCACTGAGGTAAGTTCCCACAACCTCTTTCCATGCCTACCCCTCACCCTCCTCCCCTCCACACTCATCCATGCATCACCTGACCCAATTGGTCTCTTCCATTCTCTACACATACCCTGACCATCTCAGCTTTCCTCTACACAAAAACCTCCCTCATTACCGAGCTGCCTCTGAACAAGGTTTGTTTTCTCTCTCAGTCATGTTACACATTCATCTCATCCTTCTCATTTCAACTTGCTGAAGCCTACTTATGTCATTATCTTTAACTGTCCAAGTTTCACTGCCACACAACATCACACTTCTCATGCCAGCTGCACACAATTTTCCCTTCAAGTGAAGAGAAGGTCCTCTTACTGTCAACAGCTCCGTAAACTTTTCCCCAGTCACTTTTAACTTGCACTACCTTCAACACTGAACGTGTCACCCAGGTAGCAGAACTCATTGAAACAATCCAGGAAAATATACCCAGCACTGAGTTTCTCCAGCCTTGATAAGGTCACATGAATTACCTGCACATAATGCATATTATATATTCTTTAATTCTAAATCATTTTACCACAACTTAATAGTTGTGCACTGTTTGGATACACAGAAGAACTGAGCAATACACCTTTTTTTCCTAATATTGTTCTGTATGTTTCTAGAATGTTCTCAAGAGCAGGAGATGCTGTTCCCAGACAGACCTCATGAGTACTGTACTTGGATTTGTGGATGGCAAATTTTCAGATAATAAGGGTACTACTATGGATATGAATGGAGAGTGTGGACGCACGTAACTTTTACCCACAACATCGGTTCTAATTGTTTGAAAGATGAATTTGGTGCCACATTGATCCTGATTAATTTTCTACAAGGTTGTTTCAATATAAGATCCTTAAACAAACTATTTCAATACATTTAATGCTGGGAACTCGATTGTTTTCTGGAAAAAAAAGTACAAAATGTTTATACGGGAGTCTATAAAATCAGTTAAAATTAAGTTAGAAACACCATATTCTACCCAAATAATCCTGAATAGTTTATCTAATTAAATATACTGTATATAACACAAAAACCCTATATACAGGGATGTGCCACCAAATACAAGTATTTTGGGGCACAAGGCTGGAATGTTCTGAGTGTGACAGACAAGACAGCACACATTACTGCCAGGTGTTTGAGAGCTCCTGACAACACCAGCTGCTCCTGAGTACATTTATACCAAGAGCCAGCACCAAGCGAGAGCCAGCACCAAGCTACCAAGAGCCAGCACCAAGCTACCAAGAGAGCCAGCACCAAGCTACCGAGAGCCAGCACCAAGCTACCAAGATAAAACAAGGAAAGATCAACTTTCTTCCCCACAAATGTTCAAATCCTAAGCAGCTAAAAAAAGTTTATATGGCCAAGAAAATCCTTGAGGGTGTTAAATATAGACTAAAGTTACAATATGTTACCTGGTGTTAGGTACAGTAGCTTGAGTCTGAAATCTCCCATCTTCTGGAATTTTCCACCTGCAATACAGACCCTCATCCAACCTGGAATTTTACCCACACCGGACGGCCCCCCCACCCCCAATTAGTCTGGATTAGAGAAAGTTTACTGTATTATCTTTATATCAAATAATCTTCCTACCTTTGTTTTCTCAACTACTATTTCAATTATCTTCACCAGTTTGTCACGGTACGTGGCGTACAGCAGGCGAGCCATGTCGTCTGTTTTGATAAGGTTGTCTCTCTCTTGAATCTGGAAGATGGTAAATGTCTATTGCAGGATTATTAAGGCTTCAAAATATTCAAGTTTACAGTAGAAAAATATTTTATGAGAAGATTTACACAAGTTCAGGCGAGAAGCAGAGTTTTCTTTTTTACACTGTACCGTAAACCAGTGATTTTTTGCACACACATAATTTGTCTATCATGACCCGGTACTTTAAAACCATAAATGTAAAATACATGATATTTGTTTTAGAATATGAGAGCTGTGGTATTATGGAATTATAGAAATGTTGTTGATAAATTGTGATAACAAAATTCCTGTTAGAAAAAATAAATAAATAAAAATGTGGCAAGGTGGACCAAAGTGGGTGTGGGTCTTGAGTGTGGCTCATACACACCTGTACTTCTCAGCATCATTACACACTCTCTGATGGCACAGTTTGTTCATCCATTTAGTGACTGATAAAGGTTTTGTAGCGGATGCCCAGATGCCTTATTCTAGGAGTGACTACAAGCACATAGGTCAAAGAGAGGCCAATTATGATGTGATGCACCTGTGTTAATACACCCAAGGAATACACACCAGGTATGAAGGTCTGACAGTCATGCAGGAGTTACTGTATACAGTATGTTGGAATTGTTCCACAATTTTACTTGAGGTTCAATAACAATGAAAACTGATTAAATTAATCTGTAAACTTAATAAAAGAATGAACTGCCTCCACTGGACAGACGAACCCACCTAAGAGATGATCTAAAGGAGTTAAAATTATCAGCACAAGGCTCAGAGATGCTTCCCCCAGAAATATAGACAAGGAGGAAAATGGCTTTCAACAAAGCCAACTCTAACACGAGTGGTCTAGCAGCAGTGGTTCTTAACCTTTCTATTTTTTGCTGCGACCCTAAATTTGCCACATACAGGGACATCGCAACCCTCTGGCATATGATGAATATTTAAATGTGTATATAAGTAATATCTCCGTTAGCCGGGATCTCTCAAACTCGGAACTCTCTGATAGCCGGTATTGAAATTTTCTTGGAAAATCGTTCCCAAAGCCGGAATTTTCTGGAAAATTCCGGCTTTGGGAATGATTTTCCGAGGAGCACATTTTCCGGAAAATTCTGAGAAAATTTTCTCGATACATGGAAAATTCCGGGGAAGGGGAATTTTTTTCCAGGTTTGAGAGATGAAAATCAGGCGCATTTTCCAGAATTTCAGAGAAATTTTTTCCGGTACCCGGAAAATTCCGGGAATGGGGGCCATTTTTCCAGGTTCGAGAGATGATGCAATGGACAAAATCTGGAACTTCCGAGAACATTTTTCCGTTACCCGGAAAATTCCGGGGATGAAGGATTTTTTTTCCAGCTTTGAGAGTCGTCTCGTTACCCAAAAATCTCTCATTCTCGGAAATGCTCTGCACCAATTGTTCCGGCTAACGGAGATATCACCGTACAAGTATTTGCAAATTAATATCTAGACCATATTTACAAGGTCCAGATTAATATTTAATGGTATGTATTTCTTCATAATTAATTACCTGTGGTATATTTAGAAGAAACTCAATGTTATTATAAGTGAAATAAATTATACAGCTTTCTATACAACTTATAATAAGCACATTGATGCATGGATAAAGCACATTTGTTCCCATACAAAAGTAATATATATTTTAACACCAAAACAGAACTTAATGAAACCTAAGAAGGCATTAAATATCCTTTGAAGATCTATGGTTACCCAGATGCTGTAGTTTCTTGGTCAGCTCATTTATATTGGGTTGTACAGTACACTGATGGTCAAGAGTACAGCGCAGGTGATGCTGAGGGTCAAGACAAGACCTTGCTCTAGTCTTGATGACTACTAGAAAAGAGATCCCTGCTTCATATCGGTAAGTAATTGGAAAATGAAGCAGGGTTTTCTTTGCCTCGCAAGACAGAACAGGTTTACCCAGCAGCTGTCCCCAAAACCATGACAATAAAAGTTAAACAAATTTCTCCTATAACTCTCAATTTCCTTGAACATCAATGAGTTCTTTCTGGAATTCATCAACATTATACAGTACTCAATTTTACTGACGTCTAAACCAAAGGGATTTCTTACCCAGCTGTGCTTCTGAAGATCAGCATTTTGGGGCAATTGCCGATCCATCTTGGTTCGTAATTTTGCCAAATGCTCCTGGAAAATTTTGATCAATCTTTGATAGATACAGTACCTGATGTTCAATTAACCCAACATTACCTAGGGGGCTAATCCTCAGGTAATCATTAAATGCTAAAATTTCAAATGGTCTAAGTTTCAGGCTTTACCTTGCACTTAGTGGTCTTGACTAGGGAAAGGAAAGTACAGCCACTCGTATAAAAGAGTTCCTCAATCTTCAACATGCAGATGTAGTGTGTGTGACTTTCCCAAGCCAAATATTAGATTATAATTAACTATCAGGTGTTTAATAAGCCATTCATTCCCATCACTTGTGAACCAATCCAATGGCAGTGTCAACAATTAACCTCTTATGGTTTATGTGCTAAAGGTTCAATTACCAACATCACAATCAACTTACTCTTAGCAGCTTGAGTTCTTCAATAATTCTGGGTAGGTCAGCCTGAGTGAGGAGGTAGAATGGTGCTGTGTTCCACGTGTGTAGGAGGTGTGTGGCACGGAGCTGCAGCCAACACAACATCGAACTAACAGCTCCTCCTAGCCTAAGAAGCAGCCCTACCTTATGAATAAAATACATAAAGTAAGTAATTCAGAAATGGAGGATCAGCCCTATCTCTTGATTAAAGAACAAAAAGTGAGCAATTTAGAAGTGTAGGATCAAAGAGAGAGAGAGAGAGAGAAGGGAAAACTTCCAAGAATGAGGTGAGGGAGGCACAAGCCATGATAATAAGTTGTGTAGAGCAGCAGAGATAATCAAAATGGATATCTTGATGTCTTGTTATGGAATGAGAACACCACAGTAAGACACATGTTACAACAGTAAGGGAATATATGAAGTGAAAGTCTATCCCCCACAGCTTTAGATGTCCCTTTCGGTTGACAGTGTCTTTATGTTGATGACCAGACCTTTAACAAAATTTGAGTCATGAAGGACACCCCACTACAGCGCTCGACGGGGAAATGTGCCAGTAAAACTAACTTATGATATTGGAATTAATTCGTTTTACTCAATTGAATCATGAATCAAATCTTTTAAAACATGATGGCCCCATCTGTGGAAAGGGGCATTTAAAACTATGCGAGTATGTAATCTCTTGACTCCAGGCACTTACATCACGTTGTCAGCATTTTTTATTGCAAACTACTATATACTGTATGTGAATAACATCATTACTAGCCTAACCTAATTTACATATATTGTACAGGTAACCTAATTAACAAACAGCTGCAGTATACTTTCGATTTGTTTATGACAGTAAATAATGTCTCAAATAAAACAAAAGCAAATTTTGCCCCGTATTAATTTATTTCCATTTAGTAATGAAAATAAAAATTTAACCTATTTGAGCTAAAACACCAGTTAAATTGTAAAGCTTAATCAGTGTGAGTGTGTAAGTGTGTGTGTGTGTGTGTGTGTGTGTGTGTGTGTGTGTGTGTGTGTGGATAAAATTAATGAGAGGCTATACTACAGAAGAGTATGAACACACAACCAAATACATTTTTATATGTTTTCAGAGACAGTTAGGTAACTCATTTATGGACAAAGAAAAAACCTCAAAACAGTATAATAAATTTTCTTTCCACACTTTTCGGCCACAAATAAAAATTTCTATCACAAAATATCTATACAGTTATGTACAGTATTATCACTTACCTCATCACCCACTGGCCAGTCCTTAGGTTCCTTCTCCACCTCAGCTCGTTCTATCTCATTGATTTCCCAGACTAATAACTGAACAACATCTCCAATGCCATCACCTGTGAATAAAGTTAAGAAAAATATACATATAAGATAATGACTTTTGGTGATGAAAATTTTACCACTGAACTGTAATGTTAAGTTTCTTGCAAGTTACGAACATCTTGAGCCTCTTACCGCCTACAGTGGAGAAATTTCCATCGGGTAACTTGTAAGGCCGAGGAGAGGAGGTGGCATACGCGCCAATACCGCGTACTAAACCCCGGTCTACAAATGAAGTCGTGGCTAGGTGTCGACACTCATCAACAACACCTTCACAACTTGTATAACAGGACTCGGGGATTAAAGCTGAAAAAATAAATCATTTAACCTCACATACAAACAACTTACTTATTCTGAAACAATTGTAAATATATTGGTGCATTTCACAGGGCAATAGAATCTTTACGATGGATATAAAACTTGAAACCAAAGTAGATAGTTCCCTTAAAAAAATATAGGAAGCACTAAGGCACAACCAAAGGAGGATCAGTGCTATTCAGGAGGTTCGTGGATACAAAACTTACTGATATGACTGGAAACAATGGCAGAAGTAAAATAAATGTATATTATAACTGTGCACACATAATTAGTGGGGAGTTATGTTGACAGAACTTATTCAAGAGCAACATAGGAATACTGAATCACCATTCACAGTAACTTGGTTATCATCTGAAATGGAGTCATGCAAACAATGGCTCACAGACTACAAGTTATCCTTGCATCTTGGAAAGACAGAAGCAATATTATTTGGATAAAAAATAAAACAAATCCATTGCACTGTACAGTAAAATATGGGAATGAACCATCTCTACAGGAACCCCGTTGAAATATCTTGGACCAAGTCTTGACTCTTGTTTATCTGGTGAATTAATCATAGATAATATTGTAAAAAAAAAAAATTATAATAATACAAGAACATAATTTCTCTATATAAATGCTAAATGCTTCTCAGTTGATGACAGAAAGTCCCTTTGCTTGGACTATTCCTGCTCATCCTGGTACTCTGCCCGAACACAGAAGCTAAAATCCAAGTTACAAACTGTCCAGAACATGGTGGTGGTGAGGTTCATTCTTGACATGAAAGCAAGAGATCACATTAGTCATGAAGTCCTTCAATTGCTGGACATGTAAGTGTGGTGGACAGTGTGAAGCAGCTGAGGGTGAATCATGCTCACAGGATTTTCAGTGGACTGTGCCCAGAGTATATAACAATAAACTTTATAAGGATTAGAGATATGAAACGGCAGGGCCCTAGAGGGAGTGAACACAATTTTATGGTACCTGGTGTACGAGGTCAAGTGAAAAACACTTTTCTGCTTCACAGCTATTTTGAACTGGAACAAGTTACCCGACCACATCAAAATCAGTAATGGTATTAAACAATTCAAAGCTAAATTAAAGAATACATAACAGATAAAACTAGAGTAAGAGAAGAGTGATCTTCTATATCATTAACTGTAATGCTTGTGGAGTTTACCTCAAAACTTTCACTGTTACTCCTGTACACATACAATTGTTGTTAGAGGCCAAGTGTAAGCCTAAGCAAAGGACCCTCGTATACATTACTTGCATTGTCTCGGCACACAGGAAACTGTATACTCTCACGGCCTATGTACACCATATACTGTACCTACGTAGTCTATATTCATGCAGAACTGTATAACTGCAGAGTTTATATACGGTACCTGTACAAGCTTATCCAGCTGTAAACCTGTATGAAAATTTAACTGAATAACTATTACTTATTATTATCACCATTGAGAGTATATACTTGTACATGGCACTTGCTGGTTGAATTTGAGAATCCTGTCATAATTTGAAGCTTTAACCAATCACACAGCAGTTGATCATACAATGTCTAGACAGTCATGGACAAAAGTTCTCTCCTGCTCTCAGCCACAACGTGACTTTGAAACATTTGATGCTTAAACAATGAAACAGTAGAAGAAAGAGCCTTTTTGAACCAACAGATGTTACACACGAATGTTTATCATGGGAGGCTCCCCTGATAAACATTCCTGATAACTTTTTACTGCTGAGTTCTGATAATTTAGTCTACCGGTATACCCCAGGTATATATTCAACCCACCAATCCTAGTCACCCACAAATTCACTCTTAAGTTAATAGTCATTGGAATTAAGCCTCTCAATACTGTATACACACTTTTCAGGCTGTCATAAAATCTTAAGTTACTGCAGTGTAGTGTAGCATACATTCTGGTCTTCGCTTAATGTACACTTCCAGTTAGGCCTATGGTGATTCATGTGCAGGATGTACCATAATGTGTGCCGCCGGCGAGGCCGTGGGCTCGTTACACACGTCTTGCCCGCGGTGCCCACCATTTCTCTGTGGATGTTGGTTACTAGAATAACTCGCCAAACTGTGGAATGCTCTGCCTTCTTCTGTGTTTTCATACTCATACAATCTGTCTCACTTTAAAAAGTCAGTTTTCCAGCATCTTCGTGGTGTAGATTAACACAACCTTTTCCTTTTCTATTTTTAATTTCTTTCTATTCTATTTCTCCCCCCCCCCCGGCCCCATCGTGGGTCGATGACCTTTGTCGGGTGGGTTATTGGGTTATTCCCCATAAAAAACAAATCATACTTACACTGACCTACCCTACACAGTACAGTACTGTACTGTACCTTATCTCCTAAACACAATTTATTTTTATACAAGTATCACTTCACTATGTATATATCTATCTATCTATACTGTAACCATCCACCTACAGTACAGTACAGTATATCTATTATAATCAGCTTTCTTATTCAGCATGGGGGGGGGATGGGAGGTGCCAGTTAATGAAATATATTAACTATGCTGATTAAAAATGTTACAGTAATCTTACCAAAGGAGTACAGCACAGTACAGTATAGTACCTTCACTTACCTTTATTACAATACTGCTGGAAGATAGTGAGTACTTGAAAGATCTTGAGAGGAGTGAGAAGTGCTGGGGGTGGGAAGGGTGGTGGTCTGGCTGGGGGAGGAACCCACAGCACCAGTTCCTCTACAAACTCTGAACCTTCACCCCAAACTCTCTCCACATAGTAAGTTTCAATTCGGGTTCTTGCAGCTTTGCTTAAACGTTTCTCACCAGATTTGCCGTGCTTCACCATGCCTTTGACTGTAATATTATATTGAAAATCACGATCAGAATCTTTACTTCATTCTTTGTTTGGTTATCAATCAAATATGTACAGTATTCCAAACATCGATATCTGAGGTACAATACAATGTTGTCATTAAACGAAATTCAACAGTAATAAATAGAGTTAATCAGAGGAAAATACATTACATCTATGACTTACTGAGAACTCCTGTTGTCTTTGTAAACTTCTCAACGAGTAAGTTCAGCAGCTCTGAGTTAGCTTTAATCAGAGAGTCAACTTTGGAACAGCACACTGGGCTAGTGACATCCCCGGCTTCATTGGCTGGCAGATAATCTGTCCCAGGAAAGTCTTCTCCAAACTCCATTCTTAGAGCTAAGTCTAATTTTTGCTGGTTTATCTTATTTTCATCTTCTTCCTTAGCAATTGCATCTTCAAATATATCTCCCGTGACCAAACCAGATTTACCACTTCTATAATTTAATGGTTTCCATGGCAATACTGTCCCATTTTCAACTGGCATTTTAAATTCTAGCATTAGAGTATCAGCAATGCAATTAGTCACATGAGGTGCTCTCTCTCTCCCTATAGTCTGAAGAATCTTTGAGGCTGTCATTTGTTTTAAGCAAGACAGTGGAGGAACTAAGTTATCAGGCATCAGAGTTCTGTACAAGGAATCACTATCGAGTTCTTCCTCTTCATCTTCAAATTCTTCTTCTTTCTTAGGTATGATATTCTTTAATTTGACAAGTATTTCATTGTATGCTGCTATGACTTCAAAAATACCAGCTTCTGATAGTACTTTAGACTTCTCACTAAAATTTCCTGCTATAATTTTCAACTGAGCTTTTATTAAACTTTCGATAGAAAACAATATTGTGTCTCTCTGAACCTCCACTTGGCTACGTCTTTCCCCCACTCTAGCAAACTGAATCTTACAGAACTTACTACGAGATTTTAAGAGTTGTCGGTACTGTTCTTCCATTTCCAAAAAGTTAGCTGCATAATCTCTAAGACCCAAAATAACTTTCTTAAAAGCAGTTTCATGTCTAGCCAACACCTTTGATTTTAAACCCGAAGTCTTTATAGTTCCCTTGAGCTGTGCGTGTTCTGCCCGCACTCCGTGGTGTATCCTCCGTATTGCTTTCACCAATACCCGAGTCACTTTGTGGAAGTTGGCCCACTCTATACAGAACTTTTTACATTCAGCGTTCACATCTTCCATCATTTTTACTTGGCACTTTTATTTTAAACCTGAAACATATGAACTGCAGACACTAATATTATGTCACTACACACAGTTAATAATTCAATCATTAAATATGGCACAGTATAATCAGTTACATGTAAACCTTTTCACACAACAGTTATTAATGTACATGATGTTAGACATACTGCACTGTACGTATAGGTATTCAATTCCAGTAAGTACAGTAGTACACAATACTGTACACCCACTGAATAAAAAAAATAACAATAAACACTAAATTTTGACAAAGAATTTAAAGAAATCATTACAAAAATATCACAATTCTGTTGTGTAATAAAAAAAATAATTTGTTATCTATAATAAAACTGTAAATAAAATGAATATTAGATAATGTCACCATAGCCAGAACTATTAATGTACAATCAGTCCTCGAGTTATGAATGAGTTAAGTTCCTAACAGTGTTAATTCCGTAAGATAGGTTTGGTTAAAACAACAATATCCCATACATAACAAAAAGTAAACACTGTAAATAAAGTGATGTTAAACAACAAAGTAAATATAGTACGGTATGAGCAAACGCTCGTAGGTCGGAGCAGATGTGAAGAGTACAGTACTATGCACCGTACTGTAACTTGGGGACCGCCTGTAAACAGTACTCTGACCACAGAGTTTGAGATATAATTTATAATACAGTTCAGTACTGTACTGTACTGTATTGCTCTTGTATTGGAACAATTAATGTAAGGTCCCACCATCTACATTACTGTAGTGTACTGTACTAGAGTATTGGTGAAGGGGGACACGAAGCAGCAGGTGTATCATTACATAACATGTTAACAGTGTGTCTGGGAGACAAGGGTGAACCTGTTAGACAACTCCTAGTACAAAAGTTCACCTGGGTTCAGGAAATACTGTACAGTACAGTACTGTGAATGCCAACTGAAGTTAGTAAAACTTACCGTACTTAAATCAACTTTATCATTTAAAGCACTTTAATTGATCTTGTACAGTCTCCTTCAAGATTCTTCGAACACTGCTGGCAAATCGAGGGCCTTTGTTTACTATAGTACATAGTAAAAATTATGAATGAATATAAAAGGTTATCGGTGATCGGTTACTTAGTTCCCCGTTGCTCAATTAATGGTTGGGCTTTGTCGTTTCGTATTATATTATAGTACGTACTACAGTAAACAAACGGCCTCGAGTTGCCAGCTGTCTCCAGCAGCGTTCGAAGAATCTTGAACGAGACTGTAGATGACATACGTACAGGTGTACTGTAGCTCAGTTTTTAATTTCTGAGTCAGGATTTATGTTGATACTGTACAGTCAAAGCTCAACACCCTGAACACCTTGGGACCAAGCAGTGTGTGGGTTACAGAACATTATCTTCTTTTGAGCAGTGCTCAGCCAGAATTGTGTTAAAAAAAACAACAACTTTTAAATGATATATATTTGCAGGTAGTAGTCGGCCACCAAACAAGGAGGTACTACCGCCTGGGAAGATATTGGAAGCATAATGTGTTGTCTAATGGTAGACCCTGCTGCCATATGTGACCAAGTCCCAGGTTGCTGATCTGACTTTCTGCCTCATTTACACACAACTGTAGGGTCTCAATTGATTCTCTTACTCTGACAACACAACACAACATACACTATATACTGTTTCTCACTATTGATCCTTTTTTTCCTCTTTTTGTGTATTTATTCATGGTCCTTTAATATTAATATTATTATTACAGGAGTATTATGTTTTCACCCCCAGGCCCTGATGTGGGTCACTGACTTGTGTCCTGGCGGGTTAATCCCGAAAAAAAAAACCAGTTGCCCAGAGGTGCAGTATAGTGGAACACTATACTGCACCTCTGGGCAACTGTTGTATACATAATGAAATACTGCACAGTATAAATATAGACAAATAAATGCAAGGATATATAAATGAAATATAAATACTGTACAATATCCTGATAATGAGGGTTTTTGATGAGACAAGAGATGATAAATACAGTATGTGCTTATTGCCACTACAGTAGAGTACATCACAATAACACATTATGGTACACAGTATTAAGCATGTAGTACTGCACAGTATACCAAAATTCTGGTGAAACTGTTTGGCTTTTCCACACAAATGGTGCCCCTTCACTTAACCTGACATATACCATGACCTTAGCAACACAAGATGACTATGGTCCAGCCTTAGCACCACAAGATGACTGTGGTTCAGCCTTAGCAACACAAGATGACTATGGTTCAGCCTTAGCACCAACATGAGGAGACTCTGGGAATGTTAGCAGTTTAGTGAAAACGTGACATAGCCTTCAAAGTTTCCTTTAAAAAATTTCCCCCTTTTAAAGGAATAAAACTGATAACTGTCGTACAAGTATTTTAGGTTAGGTTAGGTTAGATTGGTTCATTTTATGAATGAATATTTATAGAATACAATATACTGTAGCAGTATCTGCTCCTTAAAGAGCCGAGTGCCGATATACTATAATTTATTGTTCATAAAATGAACCAAAACAACCTAACCTAACCCAACTTAAACTAAAATACCATTTACTTTATATTTTATTCTTCTAAAAGAAAAATATAAATTCCATGAAACTGTTGGAACAGAAACAATCACAGCAGACACGGAGAAGTTACCTGCATCACCTCCAAGACATAAATAATATTAAAATAATATTAAAAGTTATTTTCCTCGTGCACTTTTGTCAGTGTCTTGAGTTATGAACTTTTACCTTCTATGGAAAAATTTCCTCACGTTGGTGCTAAGGGTGGACCAAGTACGGATAGTACCATTATTGTTAGTACGTATACAGTCATCCCAAACCCACGAACATTTCGGTGGAAATAAGCTTTATAACAACTTTTTTGGACGATTCTACAGTGATTCCACTAAAGCTTCATATAAGGGATGAAGAGATATACGAGTGACAGCTCAAGGTTAGCTGCACGCAGGTCACATCCCACTTGGACGATCGTCTGTTTAATGCGATTTAACGTAACATAACCTAACCTAACCTAACGTAACATAACCTAACTTAACCTTATCATTTAACGAAGATGAAAATAATCATATGAAACAGACGATCACACCTGTGGGGTGACACCTACACAGTATAGGTCAATAGAATTACAAGAAACACAATGTAAATAAATATTAATAATACTTTATGTGTTATCCTTAGTAATGGTTTATATATGTATGCTATGCTTGTACTGTATGAGTCTTTGTTAATGTCAAGTCATATGATGTCTTTACCATTGTTCGTATATAACTGTAGTGACTAGGTACAGCTGAATCAATCTTGTATGAGTTTGATTAAATATTTGTCTATATTTGTCTATATTTGTTTATATCAATGTGTTTATCGTGTTTCCTATATTTTTCTTGGGTAAAAAAATTAAATTATGACAAATCATTATAATACATCCCTATTACCTCACCAACCATGACGTGTTGGTGGGTCAAGTAACTCCTAAATAATTGCATTACTTCTTTAGTTTATACTTGTAGATAATAAATTAATACTAATAACTTACCTTTGGTGGGGTGGTGAGGCTGGACTTGTGATTCACCTTTTGTGCGTTATTAACATGTACCATTGTAAAACTTTTGTACAGTTTCATGACATTTTTCAGTGACTAGCTATTATTATCGTAGTCTTAAGAAATAATTATTCCTACCGCTCACTTTAAAATACAATTATTTGATACATTCCCTGAGCCAACAAGAGTTGTATTGAGGCCATACTGACGCTGCCGTCGGTCACCATGGCGACGCGTGTGTCCCACTCACCAGTCCGGCCAATATGTTCAACACCTTTACACAAACCACTATTAATATAACCTTTCCATAATTATTTATGTAACTTAATAGCTTTTATATATATATAGTGTATATATATATATATACATATATATATATATATATATATATATATATATATATATATATATATATATATATATATATATGCAAGTAAATCACAGTAGGTGCGCGTGATCTAGGTATCTGCTGGTAACCACAAGGAAAGAAGAATAAACGAAGTTCCCAAGGGCTTTCATGTAATCAGCATATACATGGATCACGAGCACCTACAGAGTACAGTGATTTATCTGCTCCCATAGTCTCTTGACCCTCTTGGGATAAAGCAATACTGAAGGCCAGAGTTGGTGTTGTTCCTTTCTTCTGTTTTTTCCTAAAGATTGCTACTCTTTGTGAAGGTAAGTGGGCCACAAGGCGGAAGGAAGCTTACCGTCTTTCCAGGGGGTCAGTGTGATTCTGTCTGGACGCCAGGCAGCCTCTAGTTATCAATCTTCTTGATGACGTCATCTACATTGCTGTGCCTCGCGTGTCAACCTCGGATTTTCCACAGACGAGGGCATGGCTGCCGTATTGGTCAGTCCATTTGTTGTCGTGCGGCAGATACAGCTGTGAACAGTGTAGAGGTGCCGCAAGAAGGCTCTTCCAACACGGGGTCGAAACGAGAGCCTCAGGAGGAATTTGGGATGGCCAGGAGAAATTCCCCAGTGAGAGAAGTACTCACTGTCTGCAGACGCGCTCTCTCTCTAGGTCATTTGGTGCTCTGTGAAGCAAGTCTAGGGCATTCTTGTCCACGATGGGTCCTTTGGGGGGCGTTGAGGTGAGTGACTGTCCCCCTGAACCGAGGGCGCTTTACCCCCACCGCTCTCTGTTGCCCTGGGGCGATCCTCACAGCCAGTTCGTCTGGTGCCACAACAGGGAGTCTAGTAGTGAGGCTTTGTGTACCTCAACTCTCCCGCTAGATATTGTGAACGTCCTCCTTCAACTGTGTTTGGTTGGGAGTTGGGTGGCGATCACCGGAGACTGTTACAACACGCAACAGTGAGAGGTAAACGCCGCCTTTAACGACTCACGCACTTTACAACTCTAGTTAGATCTGTTACTTCACCTCCATATAAGAGAAAAACCTAACCTAACCAACTCACCACTATGTCCTGGTCATGTTTCAGGAATGCTGAGAACACTGATCATGAATATCTAACAGGTAATACTAAACAGTAATAACCAGTTAACTATAGACTAATCAACAGTAATGGGGACAATTAGCGCGGTAAAGGGCAGAAGTACACATAAATCTGAATAAATAATAACAGTAGAATTAATAATAAAGTAATAGTGACATTAATAGTGTTAGTAATAATAGTAGTTATGGTACTAGAACAAGTGATTGTATAAACAGTGGTAATGTACTAGTATTGTCTATGGTAGATCTACTACTACTAATAATAAAAACAACAATAATAATAATAATAATAATAGTAATAGCATATAATATTCATAATAGTGTAATATTAATAAAACAAATACTATAACAGTAATAATTAGTACAATCAGCTGAAGTGAAGGTGGTGATAGGCTGTACCAATGGTCAACACCAGACGACCCGCTGTCATCGTTCACGGGACCAAGTTGTTTGTTTATTGTGGAGTTAAGTTAATTATCATCGTAATAGAAGAAGAAATTCATTATTATTATTATATGGAGGTCTACATGCATCACACACACACACACATCCCAGTTTATTTCACCTAATATTTAAACACCCAAGCCTAACCTAAACACACACACCTATAACTCCCAACCACGGCCCATAATTTACTGTCAAGGAATTTATCATTTCAAATGTTGAGGAGTCAAACTTGTTTAATATTTAATGATTTCTCTTGTTTAGGACACAACGTAATCTTGGTCAATCAGCAGTTTTACGTCACTATACATTTACTGTCCCTGAGCGCCGCAGTGTAGCGTTCCTATCATTTGCTCTCTCTCTCTCTCTCTCTCTCTCGCTTTCTCTCTCTCTCGCTCTCTCTCTCTCTCGCTCTCTCTCTTTCACTCGTAAAATCTCTCCTGCTTGTGAGAGGGGGGAGGGTGTAGCGGGAAGGAGAGCGCATGCGCGGCTAGGAGCAGCTCCCGCCCAGTGGCCGCGGGCCCATGGACTGTGTGCTTCGTGGTGTGTGTGCGCGAAAGTCAGTATCTCTGCTGCGTGTTCAGTAGTGTGGCCCACTCACTTACACTCTGGGATATTTAGACGAATTGTCAACGTGAAGGTAAGTTATGACTTATTTCGTCGACTTTTCTCTGGCCTGATGGTTCATGTTAATCACCTGTACTGAAGTAAGGATTAGAAATAGTTTTGAAAGCGCGGGAACAGTGCCACATCGATCGTCTGCTGGAAAACGCGCCAAAACAGATCAGCTCCGTCGCTTATCTGTCAAAATTTTCAACATATTATACACAAACGTCATTAACGAGTTTGTGATCTACTTAGAAAAAAAATCATTCTTCTTTCCCTTAACCTTCCAGTATGAACAATTGTTGCGACATTCACCAAGTTAAATAAAATAAGACATTATTAGGCCTCAACACGATCTTGGCATGGGAGGCGCGCTAAGTGTCCACAACCTCAGCCCTGCCGACCAGCCGCTCCTGATAAATTTAATGCGCGTCGATATTCAAGGGGATGAAAAGTGGCTTATATGCACTGGGAACCCGGTGGTGTACGTACACGGTGTCCTACTGCATCTTGTAAGAACGCTTTGAAAATTCTCCTTGCCTTGGGTGACACTAATAGTACTTGAAGTTGTTAAATCACAGAATCTCTACATACCACAGCGACGACTGGAGTAGAGTACTCCCTTGCGGCTCATTCTTGGGGGCTGTTAAGTGTCTTGCCTTATATGACTTCTAGTTTCTTTTTCCAGTACACCCACAGAATAAAGGGGAGGGGGGAGATGGTGAGGACGCAGGCTAGTGTTGGTGTAATATTAACCCTTACCGGCGCCTCCCTGAGTGGTTAGTACTTCACCCCGTGTAGGTATATGACGGACATATGAAACACACTGGAAATAAAACAAGAAATTTATAGTCTTGGTGTGATGAAGTACAGAGGTAAGGGAGGAGGGAGGGAGGGAGGGAGGGAGGGAGGAAGGGAAGGGAGGGGGGAGGGAGGGATGGAAGGAGGGAGGAAGGAGGAGGGGAGAGGGATGGAAGGGGGGAGGGGGTAGAAGGGGAGGGAGGAGGTGGAAGGGAAAGGGATGGAAGGGAGGAGGGTAGGGAGGGAGGGAGGGAAGGGAGGATGGAAGGAAGGAGGGAAGGTGGAAGGGGAGGGAGGAGGAGGGAGGAGGAGGAAGGGAGGGGAGGGAGGAAGGGAGGGGAGGGGAGGGAAGGGATGGGGATGGAAGGGAGGGAGGAGGGAGAAGGAGGAGGAAGGAGGAGGAGGGAGGGAAGGAAGGAGGGACGGATGGAAGGAGGGAAGGGATGAGGGAGGGAGGGGGTGGAAGGGAGGGAGGAGGGAGGGAGGAAGGGATGGAAGGGAGGGTGGAAGGGATGGAAGGGAGGGAGGGGAGGGAGGGAGGGAGGGAGGGGGAAGGGAGGGACGGATGGAAGGGAGGAAGGGAGGGGAAGGAGGGGTGGAAGGGATGGAAGGGAGGGAGGGAGGGAGGGGGGCATGGGGGAGGGGGAGGGAGGGGAGGAAGGGAGGGAGGGAAGGAGGGAGGGATGGGAAGGGAGGAGGGGAAGGAGGAGGGAAGGAAGGAGGACGGATGGAAGGGAGGGATAGGGGGGAGGAAGGAGGAGGGATGGAAGGAAAGGAGGGAGGGGGAAGGAGGGAGGAGGAAGGGAGGAGGGAAGGGATGGAGGAGGAGGAGGGAGTGGAAGGGAGGGAGGGAAGGAGGGAGGGATGAAGGAGGGAGGGGGTGAAGGAGGAGTGGAAGGGAGGAGGGAGGAAGGGGAGGGGAAGGGAGAAGGGAGGAGGAGGGAGGGATGGAAGCGAGGGAAGGATGGGAGGGAGGGGGAGGAGGGGAAGGAGGATGGAAGGAAGGGATGGAAGGAAGGGAGGAAGGAAGGAAAGAAGGAAAGAAGGGAGGGGAGGGAGAGAGGGCTCGTCACTGGCCTAACACCCTGGTGATAGGTAACCGCCATAAGACATGTCCAACACTCTACAACTCGTGATGGTAAGATGATAACACCGAGTCATACAACAGTTAATGTATGAAACTACTTAAAACATACATATTAACAAATCCTGGATGAAACTACATATAAAGAATGTATTTACTTAAGTGTGTGTGTGTGTGTGTGTGTGTGACGGTACTATTTATATATTAGGGATGCACTACGACCACCACTAATACTACTACTACGACCACCACTACTACGACTACCACTACTACGACCACCACTACTACACTACTACGACCACCACTACTACTACTACCACTACTAGTTACTTTTTTTTAAATGGCCTCCAGCCTTTCCCAATAGCCACACCTGCAACTACTACTACTACTACTACGGCTACTAAGGATATTACTAGTTTCTATTACTACTATTATTTTGTTGCTATTATTACTATTGTTACTACTTATACTACTATTACTGTTACTACTAGTACTACTACCTTAACAACAACGATACCACCACTCCTTCCTACTACCACCACCACTCCTTCCTACCACCACCACCACCACTCCCTACCACCACCACCACCACCACCACCACCACTCTTCCTACCACCACCACCACCACCACCACTCCTTCCCACCACCACCACCACCACTCCCCTCACCACCACCACCACCACCCTTCCTACCACCACCACCACCCTCCTCCTACCACCACCACCACCACCACCTTCCACCACCACCCACCACCACTCCTTCCTACCACCACCAACCACCACCACCACCTCACCACCACCACCACCACCACCAATTCACTCCTCCACCACCCACCACCACCAC